CGTCCTCATCTCCCGCTCCGCCATGCCGTTCTGCTGCGGGGTGTACGGGCAGGTCAGGTCGTGGACGATCCCCTTGCCGTTCACGAAGTCGGTGAACTGCTTCCCGAGGAACTCCCATCCCCGGTCAGAGCGCAGCATCAACACCGACCGCTTCGTCTGCCTCTCAGCCGCCGCCAGCCACTGCACGAACTCCCGCAACGCATCGAACTTCTTGGCGACCGGCCTCACCCACACGTAGCGGGTCTTGCGGTCCTTGGCAGCCACGCGGAACGGCCCGCACAGATCGATGTGCACAACGGCCAGCACGTCGTCGGCGTCGGAGCCTTTTTCGGGGAAGGTGTGCCTCGTTAGCTTCCCGCTGACGCACGAAACACACGGAAAGTCGGCGCCGGACGCCGACTTGAGGTCCAGCCCGGTGGCGACCTCGTGCTTCGCCGAGCTCCGGATGGTGTCCATGCCGACGTGCGCAAGCCTTGCGTGCATCCTGTCCGGCGTTGCCTTCGTCGCCGAGACGATCGCGCGCAGGGCCACTACCTCCGTGGTGGGCGTCGTCGGCTTGGCCGAGCAGGGGCGCAGGTCGGTGCAGAGGACACGCCCGGTGTACGTCGCCCGACCAAGCACCTCCCCTGCTGCCGAGACAAGCAGCATCCCGTCACCGTCCTCCCGCAGCTTCACGCCGTGCTCCTTCAGCTGGCCGGCTGAAAGCAGGTTTGCCCGGACGCCGGGGACGTACAGCACGTCGGGGATGAGCACCTGCTTCCCGGCCTAACCTTTCAGAGCGACAGTTCCGCGGCCCTGAACGTCCTGCAGCGCCCCATTGAAGCCGCGCACGTGTTTCACGTCGCCGCTCGGCCCCAGGTTGACGAAGGCCTCCTTCGTTCCCATCAGGTGGTGCGAGCAACCGCTGTCGAGCAGGACCACCGCCGGGTTCGCCTGCACAGCTCCCGCCACCGCCTGGAAGTCCTCCCCGGCCTCCGGAGCCAGCGAGACGGTCGGCTCCACGACGCCGACCAACGAACACGACGCCGTCTTGTCGTCCTTCGCCTTGCCGCCAGCAAAGGAGTCGGCGTCCTTCGCCGAGGTCGACTTGGTCGACTGCTTCTCCTTGCGCGGCTTGCTTCCACCTCGACGAGGACGACGGCTGCCAGACCTTCCTCGGCCCCCCTTGGCGTCGTCGTCATCGGAGTCACTGCGGTCGGGGCAGGCACTCGAAGAAGAGGTGGTCGGGGTCACCGCACAGCCAGCATTCCCGGCGTCGGCCTCCGCCTCCACGACCACTATCCTTAGCCGACTTCTTCTTGTCGGCGTCCTTGCTCGGCTTCCAGCCACTGCTACTGCCGCCGCTCGACTGCCCACGCTGCCCTGGTCGGCCTCCTTGCTTCGCCGGGGCGACGAAGTTGGCCTGCGCCAAGAGCTCATGGGATCGCTCGGCCTCCTGCATCGCCTCGTCCTGCAGGATATACGAGGTCAGGTTATCCTCGTTGAACGTCATCCTCGTGCTCGGCGCCATGGACAGCCGCTTCAGGAGGTTGTAGCTGCTCGAGAGCCCCTGCATGACGTGGGTGACGTACGACGCCGTTGAGTACTGTGCGCTGGCCATCCTGATGGTGGCGAGAATTCGCCGGGCCCGGTTGCAGTAGTCGGTCGCCGTCTCCTCGTCGCCCATACGCAGGTGCGTCAGCTGACCCTTCAGCTGGGCGATGTACAGGTCGTCGGTGACTTGGTAGGTCGACTCGATGAAGTGCCACGCCCGGTGACCGGCGTCGAGGTACTCTCGGCACCACTTCAGAGCGATCTGCACGCCTGGCGAGCAGCACCGCGAAATGACCATGAAGGTCAACAGCTGCACGGCGTGAAACTCCGCACATAAGTCGGCATGGTGCTCCTCCGGCGTCGTCACGGTCCCTCGGGCAAAGCCGATCAGTCCGGCCATCTCCAGCTAGGGCTCGATGGCTTCCTTCCAGGTGAGAATGTCCTGTCGACCAACGAGCGGCGGGGTGACCAAGATCCTGTCCGGCGCAAACTTGAAGTAGCCGTAGCTCGGTGCAATCCCGCCCGCCGTCACCTGGGTCGCCGACATCGGCGACAATCCGCTTCGACGCCCACCGACGTCGCCCTGCGAGGAGCCTGCAGCCGCCGACAACTGCATCCCTCGCGCCTGAACGCCGCCGGCTTCACCGGCGTATATCACACCTCGCTGCCTCGACGTGCCTCCTGCACTGCTGCCGACCTGGCCTCCACCGACGTTGACGCCCACGTCGACACCGCCGTCGTTGTTCACCGGTCGAGGAGAGGCAGGCCGAGAAGGGGGGTGCTCCGCCGCCCACATGGAGCGGAGTCCTGCCTCGACGACTGCCCAGGGTATCGCCCCGTACTCCTGGGCCTGATGGCGTCTCCTCGCATCCTCCAGCTGTGCCTCCAGGGTTTCCATCACCTCGGCGTCACCTGCGCGCATGCTAGTGACTGCACGGCTGCCGGCCTACGAACACGATCGGTAAGTGCAAAGTCGGCTAGACTGAACTGCGTCGCGGTGTCGTCCACGCTCACCGCACCATGCGGAGATAACTACTGCAACGGGAGCTAGACTACGGGCTAGGCACGTGTGCTCGTGTGATCTCTTCGTTCGTTCACTCAGTCGTTTCCTTGCTAGTTCACGGGGAGAATTGGCAAGAGTTTCACTAGGAAAACATGACAACAATAAAAATGGTTAGAACAACATTGCCAACACTGACTACATCTGAGCTAGCTAGGCTGCTGGTCGACCTCCAGCACAGCACGGTCGACCGCGCTCCAGCGCAGCAGCGCTCGCACCGCTCCAGCGTTGCAGAGTAGCGATGCGCCAACGTTGCAACTCCGTGGTGTGCCAACGCTGCAGCAAGTCGGCTGCACAGCGTTGCACCCGCAGGACAACGGTGCACCTGCTTCGCAGGTGCGCGCAGCTGGTTAGCGCTCCACGCCTAGTCATGAGCACAGCGCAGACGCCTGGCAGACTCCACGCCAGCGACTGCGCCCACCAGCCACGTCGACCTCGGGATACCACCCCCGAGGTCGGCCTCGCAGACTCCACCCCGGCGACACTCGCACACGTCGCCCGGGTATCCCGGTCGACCGGGCAACCACGCCTGGTCGACCAGTGCAGTCCGTAGCCGGCCACCAATGCCCGGCGTCCCCAGGTCGGCGTCCAGACGCCCAAGACGTCTTCCGAACCCCCCAGGTCGGCGTCCAGACGCCCAGGACGCCGCGCAGACCTCCAGAGCGGCGTCCAGCCTCCCGGGACGTCGACCAGAAGCCCAGGTCGGCGTCCGGGCCTCCAGGACGCCCAGGTCGGGGTCCGGGTCCCCAGGACGCCGTGCAGACGCCCAGGGCGGCGTCTGGCCTTCCAGGACGCCGTGCAGGCGCCCACGACGTCGACCAGGCGCCCGGGTAGTCGTGCCGACGCCCAGGTCGGCGTCCAGCTTCCCAGGACGCCGTCCAGGCGTCTAGGACGCCAACCAGGCGTCCAGGACGGCGTCCTCCTGCTCGGCGCCCTCCAGCTAGGCGCCCTCCAGCTCGGCGCCCTTGCAGTGGCCCCCGTGCCCACTGCTGAAGGTCGGCTGCAACCCCCGCACATCCGACCACGAGATCGGCTCCGCCCAAGCGAGGACGGGGCCTAACAACACTCCCGTTGACAATGAAGACAGCATATACGGTATAGCCATGTGTTGTAGCATAGTCATCGACAACTGAAAGTTCATAAACATGCGTGTATCTCTTGTCTCAAAATTATTATACTCAGCAAAAGTGATGGTGGTTCTGTGTGCCAGAATCCCAGCCACTAACCACTGGGATAAAAGGGCTTGTTTGTGTAGCGGGTGAGTGCGTCCATAACCCCCCAGGCCAACGTGCCTGTAACCCTTCCCTAGGATCATCGGGAATCTCCAGTGGACCTCTGACACTGTGCTGGTGGGACATGAGGGCCAAAGGTAGCTCCTTGGGACAGGAGATGCGCGCATGGTGGTGGGATCACCTTGGAACAAGACACACAGCAAGTTCATCAACTTGGAAGGGAAAATTATTGGTGTGTCATGCCAAGTGGTGACATGCTCCAGACATCAGTAGATAAGAATGAGGCGCACATTCTGCCATTCTTGGGCAGCAGCAGGCTACTGTTGAACTGCATCCATGCGAGGACGTATGGCGTTTGTCAAGTGGCGGGATCTCGTCGAGCGACGGCAGTTCCTGGCTGTTGCGGAAGACAAGGATGATGATGATGATGAAGGGCCAGAATAGGCAGAGAACACTGCCGGAGCACACAAAGGAATCCGTGATAAGGGTGGAGAAATTGACTGTGCGCCTGCTGGATAGGGCCTGCAGAGGGGGGAGCAGTGACGGCAGGCAAGGGTGGGCAGGGCAGGGCAGGCAGGATCGGGAAGGGAAGGGAAGGGAAGGCAAGGACGATAAAGGGCCAGACGAGGCAGATCACACTGCCTAGAGAGGCGCCTGGTTTGGGAAAGCCATTGCTAAATCTCAGGGCCTGCTACAATGCCTGCTTGCCTTGGCCTTGTGGCTGCCGATTATGAACTTGTCGGGGTTACAGGGAGGTGGGTGATAATGGTGAGTGTCGGGCAAGACAGGGTTGCATGGGAGAGGGCACCCACGCTCCTAGCCTAAGTGGTCAGAGAAAAACGCATGCCAGAGAGTGGCTTCGCATGGGTGAGGACAGAGAGTGGCCTGTGGAAGCAGCTCCTCTTTGCACCACGCGCCCCCACCCACCTGCACATGAGCCCTGGTGGGGGGGCAGTGAGGGTGAGAAATCGGAGTGGACCTTGCTCGGAGGACCTTCATTCATAGCAGTGTTTGTAACACCCCACCGACCCATCGACCAGCCACCGGCCACCAGCCACCAACCAACCACCATCGTCGCTTTACTTACCACCATGGCAGCTCAGAGGGCCGGGGAGGAGGTAGGGCGGGGATAGCGCTACCGGACATGATGCTTTGGAAGAGTGGGTGAGTATGGGTTAGGGTGGGTAGGGGGGGGGGCGGGTTGGGGAAATCATGGAGAAGAGGGGAATGAGGAGACATGCATGCTGTAGCGCCCCCGAATGATGCGCTGGTAGAGCTGTGGAGGTGTGGGTGGGGTGAGGTTATGAGGGAAGGGGGTGGGGTGTGGGTGGGCTAGGGGAGGAGGGAGGGAGAAGCAAAGAGCATGGGAATGCAAGGAGAGAGTAGGGTGGCACATAAGGTTCCGGGTAGGTAGTGACTTGGCAAAGCTGTTCCACACCAACCTTGCGGTGAGGGCTGAAGCCAGTGCACGGGGATAGTGGGGGGGTGATGAGTTGACGGGACGATAGGCTGACGGGATGATGGGGTGATGAGGTGATGGGGTGACGGAGTGATGAGTTGAAGGGACTGTCTCCTCCACTCTGAAGGGTCGAATATAGAGACAGTGCCAGTGGCAATGGTGGCAAGACAGGCGACAAATAAGATCACAAACCTGATTCGGTAGAGGCAGGTTCGATACAAGACACAGCTGACATCATTGTAAAGATGAGTACTCACTGATCGGTGTGTGAACGTAGAGACGGCAGGGGATGGATGGCAGTGGCTGCACTATGCACAACTGGTGGGTGATTGGGGGAAAGAATGGCCAGAGTGGGAGGGGGAGAGGGGGCAAGGAGGTGGGTGCAGGATACGCGGATTGGGCCAATGTGATGGACGCTACTGGCTTCACTATGCACACATGGGCAAGGGGGGGATGGCAATGGGGATGGGGATGGGAAGAGGATGTTGAAGGGGAAGGGGATGGGGGAGGGGATGGGAATGGGAAATTGTAAGGGGGAGGAGATGGGGGGACAGTGATGATTATGCAGAGCTTGCGAGTGATCGGACGAAAGTGGACCAGTGGGAGAGGCAGCGGGACAGTCCAGGAGGGGCCAGAGGAAAGTGCAAGAGAGGTGGGTGAGAGAGAGAGAGGCAGTGAACGATCTGAGAGGGGAAAAGTTGGATATTCTAGACTGCCACAGGGCATTCAGCCTCAGAGCATGCAGCACGTACGGAGCTTTGGGCACTTCTAACACCAATGAAAGGCACTTCGCACTTTGAGCAGCAGCTGGTCATTCATTCAGGAAACAAGCACAGCTAAACTACCACAGCTGAGAGTGAACTGAGTCTTCTGAGAATGCCCTAAGTGTGACCTGTGAGATTCCTGAGAATGTCCTGAGAGTGACCTGAGAGTGTCCTGAGAGTATTCTGAGAGTTTCCTGAGAGTGACCTGCAAGCGGCCATGAGCCCACGTCCCTCACAGCCCGCATCTCCTTCTCCCACTACTCCACTCCGAGGAAGACAACTGCCGGCACCTAGCACCCTCGCTATCAGTGGCATGTTGGTGACCTGTTATTAACCCCACGTCCTCCTTACCACGCACCTCCTGCTCCTGCTGCTCGTCCTTGAGGAAGAGAACTGCCAGCTCCCAGCCGCCTCGCTACTACTGCCGTGGTGACCCATAACCAAGCCACGTTCCCTCACCACGCACCTCCTTCGCCTTTTGCTCACCCTCAAGGAAGAGAACTGCCACGAGGCACCCAGCAGGCTTGACCAGCCTCGCCTCAGCCGTGCTCTGCAAGTGACTCTGACAGACTCACAAGCATCACGAAGCCCAGCCCAGCCCACTACCCGTCACTCACTCACAACGCACGGCATCTCCTCCCTCTGCTCGTCCGTCCTCAAAAACCGCCACAGGGGGCACCCAGCAGCCTCGTTATTAGTGACCTGCTGGTGACCGTAATCAACTCACGTCCCTCTCACCATGCACCTCCTTCGCCCTCTGCTACTCTTCGATGACGAAAACACACACGAGGCAGCCATCAGTCCAGCCCACCCTCGTCTCACTCGTCGTGACCCACGAGTGACTCACTCGCATCAGAACGCACCTTCTCCTCCCTCAGCTCGCACTCCTCAATAATCACCAATGACCCAGTAGGTGCCTGCTGGTCACCAATGACCCAGTAGGTGCCTGCTGGTCACCAACGACCCAGTAGGTGCCTGCTGGTCACCAATGACCCAGTAGGTGCCTGCTGGTCACCAATGACCCAGTAGGTGCCTGCTGGTCACCAATTACGCAAGGGCGGGGATGATGCCTGGGTGAAGAGCGCACCTGCACTGTGGGGGGCGAGCCTGTGCAGCGGGGCAGACGTGGGTGACTATGTGTGGACGCAAAACTGTGGCCCAAACATGGGTGTAGGAGAAGCAGGTGCGCTGCAGAGCTGGAAGGGAGGAGGGGCGGGGGGGAAAGAGAAAAAAGTAACTGTGGTGTGGTGTACGAGAGGCATGTGGGAGGGAGATTGTGCAGTAGGGTCGCAAACGTGTGGGGCAGAAGTCTAAGTGCGAGAAACAGGTGCGGAGCTGGGGAGGAAAGGGGGGGGACGAGGGAGGGATGTTGTGGAGAAGCAGCGGAGCTGGGGGAAAGAGGGAGAATGGGGGGAAGCGGTCAAGGGGAAGGAGGAAAGAGATGGGAAGGGCAGTGACTTGGTGAGTAATGCGCATGTGCCGTAGGTGGGATACACACATGCGAGGCTGCATGGATGGGATGGGATGGGAAGGGGGTGCGAATGGGATGTGGATAAGAATAAGGACTCAGGAATCAAGAGGGAAGAGGGAAGAGGAGGTAACTGGAAAGGGGACAGGGGAATGCATCCCACCTTGGCTGCAACCACCTTCTCAACTCACCTTGGCTGACGAGGGACAAGGTGGAAAGATGAGGGAAAAGGAGGGAAGAAATGAAGAGGAGGAAGAGCAGGCAAGAGGAGGAGACAGAGCGAAATACCCAAAGTGCAAGCAGATAGTTGTGCTGCCAATGGCGCTGCAGTGGAGCGACAAAGCCAGTGGTGCAAAGAATTAGCTCGAGGACAGACGGCTAAGGCCTTCAGGGCGGGAGACGAGCATTGATGAAGGGTTAGAGGAGCAAGGGAGGGGCGAGGGAAGAAAAGACGGCACATGGAGCATGACGCTCAAGGCGACTTGGAGGTCGGTCGGACCTTGAGGCAGTGCAGCTCAGTGCCCCTCTTGTCTGAATGAAGATGTTCCCGGGCGCCTGGGGCGAGAGGGAGAGAGGACGGGGGAGGGGGGACCTGGTGATCAGATCGGTGACCAATGCGAGGAAGAGAGGGGAGGGGCGAGGGGTGAGGGGTGAGAAAACAGAGCGGAGGGAGAGGAGAGGAGGGGAGGAGAAGAAGACAGCAGCATGGGTACGACAGCATGACATGACTAAGGTGTTATGGGTGCCGGGAAAGGAAACATGGGTATTGCAAGACAGAGGTACCTACCTATTCATCATGCGTCTTGTAGGCACCTCAAAAGCTGCTAAAAAGGGGGGCCGCACGGCATGGCACGGCACGGCACGGCACGGCACGGCACGGCACGGCACGGCATCGTCTCTTCTGTGTGGCGGCAAAGAAGAGGTCGTTGTGGAGGGAGCATAGAAATGCTTCCCACCGTACATGCGCACTCCCGCCCACAGTCATTGCCCCCTCTTCCCTCTCCTTTCCCTATCCTGTCCCACACATGCGTTCTTCTCTCTCCCCTCTCTCCCTCATATCCCTCGTGTTCCACCCCTTCTTCCTCACCTCCTCCCCACCTACCCACTGCCGCCCTACCTTCGTCCGCAGTGGGGCCCAGGGTGTGAGGGATTGGTGGGAGAGGTGGCAGCACCAGCGATGGTGGTGGCTTCGAAGCGAAGGCAGTGGAGCAGCGAGCAGAGGAACTCGTGGGCACCCTGATGGGGGCAGGGCACGTGGGGTAACAGGGGGGGAAGGGCGATTCTGGGGCGATATGAGCGGAGGAACTCGTGCAGGTCCCGCCACAGGTGACTCGCATCCCAGGCAGAGCGATATGGGCAGGGAAAAGGGCGAGAAACGGACAGGAAACGGCCCAGGGGGGGTTATCCGACCCCTGTTGCTGCCTGCCTGGTTCTCTCTAATGGGGTGCGACCCCTATTGCTGCCAGGTTATGAAACAAGAAACCAAGATAAATGCGGATCTGTGAAAGCGAAGTAACCATCGTTTCAGGCAGCGCTGCTCTCACCTTCTGAGCCCCAGAAAACCGGAAGCACTTGGCCCAACTGTCGTGTTGTCAGCGTTGTCAGCTGCCAATGGCACCCATCTTCTCTACTGCCAGTGCCGCCACTGCCGTCGCCACTGGCAGGCCTAGCAGTTGTCACGTCAGCTGCTGAAGCTCAGTGGTTGGTTGAAGGGGGTGGAGGGAGGAGGATCGGACGAGAGGGGAGGCGAGGGGCAGGTGGAGGAGGTGGGGCAGGAAGGGCAGGCGGGAAGCTGCGAGCTTGCCGTGGGGCGTTGATGTAATACATGTTGACTGTATCGAATGTGCTGTAGAGAAGACTGGCGATGGGGAGGGTCAGCCTGCCAGTGGACCGAGGAGGGTATTAAGGAGATGGTGGAAACGAGAGTGGAAGGAGGAGTAAGCGGAGAGGAAATGGAGGGCAAGGGAGGGGGGAAGGGAGGAAGGAGGGGCAAACGGAAGAAAGGAAAGGGGGTCCGGGGAACGGGGTTCCGGGGAAAGGGGGATAGCGAACAGGAATGAGACGCAATAGTGGAGGGGAGAAACACGAGGGAAGGAAAGGTGGGGATGGGGGAGAGTGAACGGGGAAGGGAGGCGAGAGACACGGAGGTTGGGGGTGGGTGGGAAACGGAGGTTGCAGAGAGAAGGGAACTGCGAAACGTGCAGCAGTGAAGAATTCAAAGCGAGGAGGAGGTAAATGCATGGGGGTAACAAGAATGGAGAAGCAGGAGAAGCAGGGAGACGACGGGCGAGGTTAGTATTACATCAACCTGTTCTTGATCGCGGCGTTATGCGAGAGTAGTGGTATCCCTCCTTCGCATGGCAACGCAGCACTTGGCTGCAACCCAAGGGGGGAACCACCAGCATGGGCAGTAGTAGCAGCAGCAGCAACGCCACCCCTTCTCGCCCCCTCCTTCCGCCAAGCATGCGTTCCCCCTTCCGTCCCCCTAGTGCACCTTGCGACCTAAGTGCATCATGCTGACATGTAGACGCCCCACTATACCCCACCTCCACCTGCTTCTTCCCTCTGCCCCCGTTCTCCACTCGACCCTCTCGCCTCGCTTCTTCCTGTCTGTTCTCCCACCGCCACCTCGCCTCGGCTCATATCTGCTCCACCTGCTGCACGTAGCTTCGCTGCACCTTTGCGGTTCAGAGCTGCTGCTGCTGTTCTGTTCGGAGCTGACGAGAGGCCAGCAAAGTGGCCTTGCAGCTTCGGGTGGACGAGAGGAGCTGCTGCTGCTGTTCTCCTCTCGCATACCCGACTCCCTGCTGCAGTCCACGTCAGCATCCAGCTGCAGCCAGCACTTCGGTTGCTGCTGCTGCTGCCTGGACGAGTCCTTGGATTCCTCCGATCCCTTGGCTTGGCTCCAGGCCGCCATGCATCTGTCAGACCACCGCAGATGGGCAGCGCCAGGGTAAGGCGGAAGTGTAGTAACGTGGAGGGGGGAAGGAAAAGAGGAAAGGGTGCAGGGAAGTCGTGGTGGAGGAGGGGGGGAAGGTAAACAAGCGCTGACGTTGCTCATGGGCGTCGCTTCGGTGTGGCTCTCTGATGGCTTCCGCCAATCCCACCGTCCGTGTCGCCGTGGCAGATCTTACATCTGCAGGGAGGCGGCAAGGCGGATTGCGCCTCAACGCGGAAGGTGCGGGGTCGCGAGGGCACTCGGTCGACTCGCCATCGCCATCGCCAATGCCATTTGCGAGGGTATAACTGGGGCGATATTGGATTGGACCCTCGGCTTGAAGGCCGCGTCTCCGATCTTCTGCCCTTTCGAGAAGCTACCAACAATCTCCAATCCCCCTCTTTCTCTCGCGTTCCGCTCGTCTCTCCCCTGCTCCTTCCTGGCGGAGTGTAACTGATGCTCTAGTGCTACTGAAGCGGGAAAATGATGCCATCTGTTTCTTCGAGAACGTAAAAGAAAAGTGTCGCCGTATAACTCTCGCTTATGATTTACGCCTAATTTAACTCCCGTCGCGTGCAAATGTTACTGAGCCTTCTCTAAAACGTGTAACAAGAACGAGTTTCTGCTGAGCTAGTAGAAGCTTGAAAATGTGGAACTATGTGCTCAGCCATGGCTTGGATGGGAATGTGACAGATTCTGTGCTACATGCACGTTTCCTCCAGTGACGCGAATACGCTCCAATTGTGTGAAGGACTCAAAGTGAGTGAACGACGAGACCAACAGCAAAGAATCAGGTCCCACAAAGCAATTCTGGATGTGTTTATATCGCGGAAACTCAGGCCCTTCCCCGACCTCCGAGCACCCCGCCAAACCAAATTCGAAACGTGAGCTTTCTGTCGATTTGTCTGACGAGGCGCATTCTGACTCGCAAATTCGTGCGCGAAACGCGAAATCAACACGCTACTGTATCTGCCTGGCGACAGGTTTCCACCAGCGGTTGGGAAAAAAATCTCGTAGGACCCTCACAAACCAACCCCCCAAGCCGATCTTCGGCCCTTTCCCGCGATTTCCCCTGATGAGTCTCCCCCTAATGAGATGAAGACGATCCCACTCGAGGCGTTCGTGGTCGGTAGAGAATACAAAGAGAACGCTAGCTTCGTGTAAATCAAAGCGTGAGAAACAAAGCTCCAGAACTTCTTCATTTCATGAGTAGACAGGGTCGGAAGGCTCAGCACTAAACTACCCGATTCTGCCTGACGGTGCTTTCACTGGGTTACAATGCATCTCAGCAGCATCAACTCTCTGTCAGACGACCTGCTTGTTAAAATCCTATTGCATTCACAGCCGCCCGCGTCTCGCAAATCCGCAAGCAGCGAAATATGGGCCTCCGTGGAGCCTCGGCCCACATACACCTCCCAACATCCGTACGGTGACGAGTCGCTTCAGCAGCAGACCGACAATCCACTAGCGCCGCCTCCGGCTTCCGCAGACGCCGCGTTTACTCTTCTCATCGCATCCGTCTGCCGCCGATGGCGCCGCCTCGCTCAGCGCCACGTCGCGACGTTCCTGGTGAACGAGGACCGCGTTGTTTCCCGCCAAGATCTAAAAAACGCCATCCGCTGCTTCCCGAATCTCACCCGCCTGCATCTCTCGGACGGCAGCATCGAAACCATCGACGACGCGCTCCTCGCTCATATCGCCGCGTCATGTCCGAAGCTAAAGGCTTTGCACGTGGGGAACGAGATCACGACGATGGACTGGGAGAGGGAGGAAGACCACCCCGTGACCGAAGCCGGCTTGGACCATCTCCTGCGTCGCTGCACGCAGCTGCAGCACCTCTCGCTCTACTGCCTGCACGGAGCCGCCAAGGTACCTGATGCGTTCTTTCACCTCACGAAGCTGCACTCGCTGGGTCTCACCGTCAGCTCCGTGCTCGAGTCCTCGGAGCTCTCGCGTCTCGCGTCGCTCGCCGCTCTGTCCGTCGACACCAACCCTCACGACGATGATCCGACCCGTGGGGCCTCGCGCATCTCCCGTCGCGTCTCGCGTCGCTCACCGCCCTCTCCTGCTGCAACGAAACGCGGCTGTTTATACCGGAGCGGGAAGACGGCGCCGATGACGCCGCCTTCTCGTTCGCGCAGCTGCGGGTTCTCAAGTCGCTGGAGTTTGATTGCAGGAGCCCGCAGTTCGACCTCATGTTTCCGCGATACTCGTCGTGCAGCCGTCTCGAGCGACTGCTTCTCCGCGATTGCAACGGGCTGGAGAGATTTCCCGACGAGATTGGAGATCTGCTGCCGTGCCTGCGGCAGCTTAGCATCCGAAGATGCGGAAACCTGTCCGAGTTGCCTCACGGGTTCGCCTCCCTGTCCTGCTTAGAGACCTTGTCCATCTCCCAATGCAGCATTGTCAGCCTGCCCGAAAACTTCGGCGAGCTGCCCGCGCTCACGTCACTGTCACTGTTTCTAATGCACCTGACGGATCTATCTGCTTCATTCCCTCAGCTCACATCTCTGGAAACCCTAAACCTCTACTGCTGCAAGGAGCTCCGAGCGCTGCCTCCAGGATTCGGAAATCTGACGGCTCTCAGGTCCCTCTGCATCGAAGACTCTCCGCTGCTGGTGCTCCCAGAAGACATCGGACGGCTGGCAAACCTCCGCGTGTTTCACCTGAGCCAGAATCGCGCGCAGCAGCGCTTTCCACAGTCCTTCACGCGGCTGGCTTCCCTGGCCAGCCTGAGCGTGAGCCTGTGCGCCATCGCGGAGCTCCCAGAGGGCCTCGGGGAGCTGTCTTCGCTCACAAGCCTTGCTATTGGTCAATGCGAGATAGCGGCGCTTCCCGGGGGGATCGGGAAGCTGAGGAGCCGTCTGCGGGAGTTGTGTTTCCACCACTGCCCTAGGATTCGGGAAATCCCTGAGTGTGTTACCAACCTTGGGAGGCTAGAGATTCTAATGGTTAATTTCTGCAGCAGCCTCGCGTCCTTTCCGGGGAGCTTGAGCAGCCTTGGGCGGGTGAGAAAGCTGTCACTCGGCAAGTCCCCGCAGCTGATGCAAGTGTGCAGATCCCTGCCACGTTCCCTTGAGGTTCTCACTCTGGGGACCTTACAACGCCTCACCCCCCACCTGCAGATCCCTCCTCTGCCCAGGCTCAAGAAGCTGACCCTGATTTGTGTTGGCCTTATCAGTGGCATTGATTTGCTGGACAGGGGATCTGGGACGCCGGAGGGCGCTGCCGTGTCTTCCATTCTGCCCTCTCTGGAGGATCTGGAGGTGCATCTGGCAGGGGAGGCAGAGGAGCTGCCACTACCCCTCGCGTTCTGCCCCAACCTCCGTACGTTGACGATTCACAGTGGTGGCCGCATGTAGGCACTTCCAGATGACTTGGGATCGACCCTGCAGCAGCTGAGGCAGCTGCACATACAGCAGGCTGAAGAGCTGACAGCGCTGCCGGCGTCTTTCGCCGAGCTCCAGTCGCTAACAAGCATTCAAGTCCATGCTCCTAAACTCTCGTGCCTTCCTGAGCACATCGGCGCCTTGTCTAGGCTGCGCAAGCTGGACCTCTCCCAGTGCTCTGCTCTCACGCACCTCCGTGCTTCTCTCACGCAGCTCGCTTGCCTTCACCATCTGAGCCTCACCAGCACTGCAGTCCGATCGCTTCCTGCCAGCTTCGGGCACCTGACGAGGCTCAGGACGCTTGACTTGGATGGCTGTGGCCAACTGGGAAGGATTCCGGAAGATCTGACTGTTGGTGCAACCCTACGGTTTGCACTCGGCTTGTTGTCCGTGTGCGTGCATGTGTGTGTGTATGGAATGGTATGAGGGCATGAGATAATATATATTTCATGCTTATAATTGTGTGTGAATGTTGAGTCATGATGTCGAGCGTGTGTGTCGAGTCAATAGCGAGTTATCGCTAGACGCGTGTTACGCGGTCGTTTGTGTCTCGAGCGCGGTTTCTATTTTGTCGTGCGCGGTTTCTATTTTGTCCTGTGTCGAACGTTCGGCGTGTCGCAGGTGTGTGCAGCAGACCCATCAAAAACTCAAGGATGAGTTTGTGATGAAGAGCCCGAGCCTTGGTGTCAAGCCTCAAGTGATTTCGAAGCTCGCCAAAAGGGTACACCTCAAGATATTGAAGATAGTTACATTACTTTGTGTAGTGTAACATTTCACTTGGTGTAGGCCCTAGTGAAGGGTAGTTTCGAGACCCTTCGTGGTTGGGGACAGTGTGGCACTGTTCCACATCACTGTACCTCGGCTCTTGGGGTTTGTAGGAGCTGGGAGTCATTCCCAACTCGTAACTCTTCCTAACTCTTCCTATCTTGTGTTCTAAGACTGTAGTGGCTGCAATAGTGCCGTTCGTTCAAACTGACGCTGTGTCGTCAATACTTGGTGAAATCGTGCGATCTAAATTGCCTATTGTAGGCGACAATAAGACGCTCCAGATCCAAGTTGAATCAAGTCATTTGAAGCTGTGACCAGAACGCTATGAACGTTGGAAGCCGCTGTGCAGAAATCCGACTGTGCACTCTATCTTTCGTTTTAGGCACATTGGAGCCTACTGTGACTATAACACTGACTGAGCTGAAGATGCTTCATTGGCTGGACGTGGCCGGGTGTGAGAAGGTGATGGATGATCAGGGCAGAATCCGAAATGTAGATGTGCATGGTATGTACGGGGTGCTTGTTTCACAAATTTAGTTTCTGACAAACTTTGTTTCTCGTTCAGAGTTTAGTTCGGATGGCATTGAACTTAAAATAGTGGTTTGTTGGTTTCAGTTCTGAAATGCTGTTCACCTTCACCTGCAAAAGCTTCATCAACCAATTTGGCTGGTCTCCTGGATGTACATTAAGCTTTTGTATGTGCATGCAAGAACAAGATTTGCAATACTATCAGCCAGGATATATGCACATAGGGGATGCAGCCCAAATGACACATTCATGGCCCGCAATTGAACACAAGGAGCAGCACAGTACAATACCGTTGGACCGCCAATGCATGGCAAAGGCCGGGAGGAATAGAAACCTGCAAGAGGGGAGAACAATGCAGACCAGAGAAGGAGCAGATGAAACAGCGGTGTTTGGAGAATCACTGAGAGGCTTGGTGCTGGTGTTGAAGCGGCAAACGCAGGGGCCAACCAAAGGCGGAAAGCAGGCGTTTGAAAGCGGAAAGCAGGAGTTTGAAAGCGGAAAGCAGGAGCCTGAAGGCAAAAATCGGTAGTTCGAATGCAGAAATCAGAAACAAAACAGGGGAAATCAGGAGCGATAAGGAGGAAATCAGTAGAGAAAAGGAGGAAACTAGGAACGAGAAGGAGGAAATCAAGAGTGTGAAGGCGGAAGGCTAGAGTGGAAATCACAGCGATATTTGGAATTACATGAGTGGGGGCAGTGGGGGGTATGATGTTAAGATACCTAGGCAAAAGGTAATTGAATTAGGTCAAGGTGGGTACAAGACTAGGGTGTCGAGGAACTTTGTGTACCCCCTAGTGCTAACCCCCATACAGCCTAGCTAACCTAAACAGGTATATATATATAATTTGACACACCCCCATAGGCGAAATGGGGGATAGCCAGGGCAAGCAACGGTCACAAGACCAGTCAAGAGAAGAAACAAAACACAGCTCAGGGTGGATCACAACGTCACCACACAGTCTGAGCACAAGCAAAGGCCACAAGGCCCGTTCACATGCAGAGATATACATGTAACAACAACAGCACAGTGATCTCTACCTACTAGAGCAAGCATGCAGGTATATATATAGATCACGGTACAAACAAAGCCTACAGCAAGTGAGGAAAAGTGGGCACAAGCCCCAGCATAGTGCAAAAGCGCTGATGATCACCAGGCTGAAGTGCCTTGGTGAATATATCAGCGGTGTTGGCCTGAGTGGTCACGTAACGCAGACGAAGCTGACCGCGCTGCTGCAGCTCTCGAGCCAGGAAGTAACGGAGAGCGATGTGCTTCGTTCTGTGCTCCAGTCTGTGCTCCTCACACAAGGCAATGGCAGCCTTGTTGTCGACGTACAGCACTGGAGGAGAACTAGGCTGCTCTCCCAAGTCAGTCAGCAGGTAGGTCAGCCAGCGTAGCTCCTGTGCAGCCATGGCTGTGGCGTAGATTTCAGCCTCACAACTGGAGCTGAGAATTGAAGACGAGCGAGTAGAACGCCAAGAAACTGAACCAGAGCCAAGGCTGAAGGTGTAACCCTGTGACGACCGCTGAGTAGCCTGGTCGTCAACCCAAGAAGCGTCTGAGTGCCCAGTGAGAACAACTGAGCGTCTCCCTCCAAGCACGAGCCCCATGCCTGACGTACTGCACAAGTAACGCAGTACCCTCTTAGCAGCATCCATGTGCACCTTTCGGTGCCGACCAGGAGCCACGTAGCGAGCCAGAAGGCCAAGAGGGTACGCAAGGTCAGGACGAGTGCAAGTCATCAGGTACATGAGGCAACCAACTAACTCTGGGTAAGGACCACTCGGCTCTACGGACTCGTCCGAAGGTGGAGCTGAGAGCGAGTGACCTGTAGCCAGAGGAGTGGCCTGTGCCGAGGACCAGGTGAAGCCGAAGCGCTGAAGGACCTGCTGCACCATGTGTGACTGAGTCAGTGTGATGGTGCGACGTGCTCTGTCCCGGGTGATCCGCAAGCCAAGATAGCTTGTCAGCTCACCCAGGTCTGTGCACGTGTGTCTCTTCTGCAGCTCCGACTTCACGTGGGCTAGAGCCTCAGTGTCAGCAGTGGCAAAGACCAAGTCGTCGACGTACACGAGGATGTAGAACGGCGGCAGCGAAGTGTCGGTGCGCAGAAACAGCGACGGGTCAGCAGTCGACGGGGCAAACCCAAGAGCCGCAAGAGTCGTCCTCAGTGTGTCGTGCCACTCACGTGGCGCCTGGCGGAGACCGTAGACTGGCCGTCGGAGGCTCCACTGGGTACCAGGAGGGAACGACCCAGTGAAGCCAGGTGGACGGCGCAGCCAGATCTCCTCGTGCAGGCTGCCCTGCAAGAAAGCTGTGCTGAAGTCAAGAGAGTGAAGCTCGTAGTCACGCTGAGCGGCAACGTGTAGCAGCACCCGAAGAGTAGTCATCTTCGGGGTGGGGGAGAAGGTCTGGAAGAAGTCAACTCCCTCTCGCTGACTGAAGCCTCGAGCAACGTAACGAGCCTTGAAGACCGGTGGAGAGCCTGGCGACCGCTTCACCCTGAAAATCCACATGCCACTGACGATGTTCGCCCCAGGAGGGGGAACCTCGTCAACGTACGTACCTGTGGACTTCCAGGATGCCATCTCTGCGTCCATGGCTGTCTGCCACTGAGAGGAGTAGGGACCCTCGATCGCCTCAGCGTACGATCGTGGAGTCGGGATCTCTGGTGCATCCGGGTCTCCCTCAGGGGCAAGCAGCATGGACACGAGATGAGGCGCAGCGGCTGCAAGACACTCAAGGTCCTCCTGCCTGTCCTCAAGGACGTCCGTGCCAAGAGCACACTCACCCCCGACGGACGGAGGACAGACAGACTCAGACTCAGCAACAAGACGAGCGGCGTAGTCTAGACGACAGTGAGCAGCAAAGTCGACAAGCTCAGCGACCAAGGCAGACGCACCAGCAGACTCAAACGACGGGTCGGCGACAACAGTGGCTAGCAGACGCGTGACAGTAGGGTGCTCAGCACGAAACCGGTCAGACTCAGGGTCAGCAACGACAGGTAGATAGGACGCAGGCGGAGACGGCAGGGGAACACGTGGCGGCGGAGAGGAAGGACGACGGACGACAAGGGAAGGGCCGGGGACAGCCGGCTGACGCTGACGAGGAACCCGACGACCGGAACGACCGGAAAGGACAGGTAAGACAGGACGCGACGCAGGCTCACGACGCTCAGCAAGGTCCCCGGTCTGCTCAGCGTAAGGAGAAGGAGCAGGCAGAGGTGAGCCAGGCTGTAACGGAAGACCAGTAGACGACGGGAGGCTAAGAACATGGCGAAGCACGGAGCCAGGCGGGGGCAGAGACGACGGAGACGGCGGAGCAAAGAACAGGCGCGGCTGTGCAGTGCCTCCAGCACCAGCAGCTCCAGCACCCTCAGCAACGCCAGCACCTCCAGCAGCTCCAGCACCACCAGCACCCTCAGCAGCTCCAGCACCCCCAGCAGCTCCAGCTCCTCCAGCAGCTCCAGTACCCTCAGCAGTCCCAGCACCTCCAGTAGCTCCAGAACCCTCAGCACCAGCCCAACCTGGTGCAGCACCCCCAGAACCGGCACCTCCAGTCCCAGGGTCTCCAACCGCTGTGCCACCAGCAGCAGCACCCTTAGACACACCACCGTCAGCCCCAGCAGCTCCAGCACTCCCAGTACGAGCACCTCCGGGACCAACGACACTAACACCTC